ACACACAACACCACAGACACACAACACACCACTGCCGCCGCCGCCGTGCACACACCAGCCCTCACACGTGCACACCGACACATGCACAAACAGACAGACGCCCGGCTGTTGGTGTTAAAATCAGAGTTAGTTTTCACTCAGCAGGTCGGAGGTTCGAGTCGTTCTCCACCTGAAAACGTCACTTCCTGTCAGATCAGACGCACTCTTGACCAGCAGGATTAAAATATCCGACAGTGTTTCAGGTTTACGGCTGAAGGAGGAGAATAAAGAGCCTTAAATTGTCTCGATTATCCGTCGAGGAGCGGAGACGGCGGTGTGAAATTCTGACATCAGCCCAAATCGGCGTGACGCTTTACACGCAGGAAATCAGATCTCGCTCCGCTTATGGCGGGATTCATATCCACGATGATATCTTAATAATAGCCTCTTCATCGGAGGGAAACACCTCAGGAACACGGGAGAAGGAGCAGCAGGAGCAGCAGGAGCAGCAGGAGCAGCAGGAGCAGCAGGAGCAGCAGGGTCACAAACGCACCGAAAACATTAACCACATTACAGATTATAACCACGGCGAGGAGGAAACACGCCACCTCTTACACCGCTGCACACACACACACACACACACACACACACACACACACACACACACACACACACACACACACACACACACACACACCGGTGGTCTCCGTGTCGGACTTGAATTTTCCTTTAAAACCTGAAACTCCGAGTCGGTCTGAATCTGCGGGACCCGAGTTCTCAGAGCCGTCACATTGATTTCCCAGGACCCACAATCCCGTGCGGCAGGCCTCTGCCCTTTCTATCCAGAGCTCTATACTTCCATGACGACACTTCACCTTTGACCCCGTGCTCCCGAGGGCGCGACCCCTTCCTCTCTGAACACAAACCGGCCCAATCACAGCGCTCGGCCGGCTGACAAAAACACCCAGAGGCCTTTGCTCCGGTGACAGTCGGTGACATCAGGTCAGATTCCTTCAGCATAACAACGAGCGGCACGGCGCGGCGTGAGGGGGCGGGCTTTGTCAGCAAAGGTCTGAGTTTACCAGATAAATCAGGAGGAGAAACCCGGACCAGCAGAGACCACCGCCGAGGTCTGAGGGACCCGTTAACGGGGGCCGCTGTCACAGGGTCTGAGGGGCCCAGAGCGAGTTAGGCCGCCCGCACCCCCAACGCCACGGCGCAGAGTGACCTTTCCCTCAGAGCAGGGAGGATGTCTGCAGGGAGCGGGGGGAGGTGGGGGTGGGGGGGGGGGGGGGGGGCACATTTCTGCAGCGGGGGGTGGGGGGGGGGGTGGGGGGGCACAGAGGTTATTCTGGTTTGAATTTCCTCCTCGCCGCCGTTTTTCCAACCTGAAAAAAACAAAAACAGAAAGAAAAAGAGAAACCTGTCCGGACAGGCACCGCCCCCCCGCAGGCGTACCTTATCTCCAACACCCCCCCCCACACACACACACACACACACACACACACACACACACACACACACACACACCTCCCCCTCTGGCCTCAGAAGTGTTTAGGAAACCAGACACAAATCAGAACATGGGAAGTGATTTAGAGCCGCCATCATAACTCAGAGCCGCGTCCAGAACCTGTCCAACATGTCATCCAACTCTGGGACATATTGATCTACTTCACTGTCTCTATTTGGACTCAGCGCCACCGCCACGCCGACACACACACACACACACACACACACACTTTCAGGTCAAACATGAATTTAAAAACAGACTTTTTTATTTTCTGAATTACAGAAAAAGATGAAATAAACGAGTTTTATCCTGTAATCAAAGGGACGATTTTTATTTTAGAAACTAAAGAAAAATTAATAAACTGTCACAGAAAAAACAAACATGGAGTCTGTGACGCGGCCTCCTGAGTGAAGGTCCACGTTTAGACGAAGACTTCTCGCCATCTCTGCGAGTTTCTCCGTCGCTCCATCAGGATCCACTTCAGTCTCCCCGGAGAAACCGCTCCACTGTCACAACTCATCCGTCAATTCAGCAACACAAATTAAAGCACTACCTGTGTGTCTAATAACATAACGGCTGCTGGCAGCACCGTGACCACACACACACACACACACACACACACATATGAAGCTGGGACACCTTCATATCAGACTGAGGCTTTTTTCCCATCATTCATTGCGTGTCGGCTCCTCACACACGTCCTCGGTCGACGGTTCGAGACAAATTCAGCTCCGAACATTTAAAACACACCGAGGCCGGTCCGACCCGATTCAGACACTCGTCCCCAGAAACAAGACGCCAAAATCCAGCAGAGCCAAAAGGCTGGACGCCTCCATCACACACACACACACACACACACACACACATGCGCGCCTCTTTAAAGCCTCGATGGGTGTTTTTATTCTCTCTCATATTTGCAGCAGGTTTGACTTCGGTGAGTTTCAGGATCTGAATCTGTGAGTCTGACACCAACTTCACGTCCACAGAACCAGCCCCACACTGAAACAGCGAGGCATGATCGGGTCTTTGAGCTCAGGAGGACCAGCATTCAGCAGGTCCTGATCCGATGACGGAAACCTGAACCGGCTGATGATCAAGAACCCGTCAAGAACCGCTTCAACTCTGCGGAGTCGCCTGAGGAGGAATAACCACCTTTGGAAACGATCTCACTCGGGCTAATTGCTGCGATTATCCTGATGATTATTATCATTATTACTGTAGTACAGGAGTGTGCGGCGGTGGCGGCGGCGGCGGTGGCGGGCTGGGTGGATGTGTGTTGTTGAAAACGTCAATATGAAACACCTTGTAATGACAGGTAAAGAACACACACTGCCCCGAGCTGTTTTTTCCACATTCAAGCACGTGCCAATCACCCGGGTCTGTTTTTAGAAACAGAAATTAGGGGTGTGATTTGTGAGGTTGTTGTCGCTGAAATGTCAAAGGCAGGTAGTCTCACAGGACCGCGTGCTCCACGCCGGAATATCAATACGGCGCTTTCTGCAGATTTAAGTGCTTTCTACTCGGCGTGATAAGATGCAGGTTCTGCTTTTTTCTGAGCTGTCAAAGTCGGAGGGAGAGCGATTTGATCATTATTGGAGCTGTTTATGGGCTGATTACTGAGAGAGAGAGAGAGAGAGAGAGAGAGAGAGAGAGAGAGAAACGACTCCGGCGGGTCAACAGTGAAGCGTTTGAACTGAGCTGATAAAGACAAAAACAAGTGCATGTGGCAAAAAGTAAAAATAAAAAGGACTGAATCACTTCCTGCGCCTGCTGGTGGCCCGTTATCAAGACTCTGCACCAGTTTCCAAACGAACGGTCAGCTTCTGGCAAAGATAGACGGAGAGAGGAGGAGGAGGAGGAGGAGGAGGAGGAGGAGGAGGAGGAAGAGGAAGGAGAGAGCGGGCTTTCTTCTAAAAAAGGGGAAATAATATTAACCGACAGAACGACAGAGAGAGAGAGAGAGAGAGAGAGAGAGAGAGAGAGAGGGAGAGAGAGAGAGAGAGAGAGAGAGAGAGAGAGAGAGAGAGAGAGAGAGAGAGAGAGAGAGAGAGAGAGAGAGAGAGAGAGAGAGAGAGAGAGAGAGAGAGAGAGAGAGAGAGAGGGGCCAAACACGGGGTCCAGAGGGGCCATCAGAGCAACAGGCATCACTTTAAAGAGGCTCCGAGGGGGTGAGGGGGACCGACCCACATCAGCTGAAGTTTCACCGCTGCTGCACAATCCAACACACTCACACAAACACTAACACAAACACAAACACACAAACACACTCACACACACTCTGAGCTCTCTGCAAACGTCACTTTTCGGCCCCCGTAATAAAGAGGATGGAGACGCTCACTTCATGCTGACCTTTGACCTCTTTCACTGCGTTCAGATCTGAGGTTAACTGAAAAGACGGACTGAGACACAACAGACACTCTTATATCAAACACACACAGACACACACAGACACACACAGACCTAAACTCTCATCACTAAAGACACGTTCAGGTTCGACTCACAGATCTGCGTTTGTTTTTTTTAAAATCTCCTTCCAGTAAATTCACTTTTGTGTTTTTATTTCCAGGATCAGAATTTGAGCGTCTGCGTCGATGAAATTAAAACTTTTTTAAATAATTAACCTGACGAGAGTTCACCAGGAAAATGATCTGCAGGATTTCACCGTCTCTCTCAGATCACAGCGACGACAAAAACGGATCCTGAAAATTAAAACAGTAGATCTCTGTATTTAAAAAACCTCTCCTAACACGGTCCTAACACGACGATCATTTATGATCATTTATGATCATTTCTGGTTCTAATGTGATTTCAGTGTAAAAGCTTCATCTCCACATCAGGATCTCTGCAGATATTTCTACACTAGAATCATGTTAACGGCCTAATGAGTTGCTGTGATTTATTTCACATTAGTGTCGGTGACATCCCCCCCCCCCCCCGGCAGAGTTTGGTTGGTGGTGTGTGTGTGTGTGTGTGTGTGTGTGGGGGTGGGGTGGGGTCTCGTGTATATTTTAGTCTTCAGCCTGTGGGATGTTGGCTCTTACAGCAGAGCTCTGTGGCTCTGACTTATCTTAAATTATGATGTTATTTTGCTCCTTCTGTGTCGCCGAAGCATCAGATTCAATCTGAACACCACCCCCCCCCCCAAATACACCTCCACCCTTTTTTTCATCTCTGCTGTCTGAAGCACTCAAATGAGAAACTGTCAGGAGCCGTGATTTGTGCTAACTAGCTATCGATCGCTCCTGAGCTGCATGCCTCGTGTCCACGCAGGGAGGGCTGAGAGAGGAGGCAAGGAGACGAGGAGAGGAGGAGAGGAGGAGAGGAGGAGAGGAGGAGAGGAGGAGAGGATGGGGAGCAGAAATGAGAGTATTGTGGTGTTAAATAGCAGCTGTTTGAGTGAATCCTGGTTGTTTAATGTGCGATCAGAGTAATTAAAGTTGTCAGAGCAACAGGGCGAGGGTGGGGGGGTGGATTCTGACTCTGAGGAGGAAAACTGATCCATCAACCCATCAGGAGTCATGATCGTCACTCTCTGATCAGGAGGATTTTAACCCCGACTTTAACGTCGTCTGCTGGTTTTAGAGATTTCAATTTCAGAAACTCAGAAAAACATCTTTAAGAAGTTCAATAATAACAGGAGCAGAAAAACAGCTTCTTTAAAGTCTCATTTTCTCTAAATAAACTTAAAGATTCTTCCTCCTGCTCCAGTCTCACTTTTTATTTACAGAGAAAGATTAATGTAAATAATCCAATCAGCTGATCGGTGTAAATAAAGTTTTTTTTATTTTCTCTCCTGCTGTGAAAAACTGACATGTCTGCCCCCCCCCCCCCCCTCCCCGTGCTCACCCCCACGATATGCTGGACTACACACTCCGTGCGCGCCCCCGCCCCTCTCTGCACCCGCACCGATCAGAACAAAGAGGCGCGAGACGCACCGAGGGCTCAGCGCGCGCGCGCACACACACACACACACACACACTCGCGTCCCTCCGTTATCATATACCCATAAATCCACGCCGTCCGTGGGTTCGTGGGTTTTACTGACGGAGGAAATAATTCAGGATCAGAAACAGAAAAAAGAAAATCTGAGATTAAAAAGGTCTGAAATAATCCAGAAATACATACTAAACACGGAGAGGATTTATTAAACTTCAGTTTGTTTAATACAGATTTTTTTTAAATCATGAAAATTAAAACACTAAATTAAAAAATTACGACGAGGAGGAAAAATTAATTTAGAGGGTTATTTAAATGTTTAAATATAATTATAATTACTGCTGTTATAATTATTATAATTATGATCATTTTGTTGTTTTTTTCTATATTATCTAAAAACGATTTTGAATAATTAGAAAATTATAAGAACTTGAACGACGAAGCTGAAAAATTATTCACGTGTATTTGAATTCAAAATTACCAATTAAACCGGATTATATTAGATTTATTTTAAACTATTCACCGACGCTTGTTCGTCATAAACTCCCGTCTGTTTAACAAACTCTGTGTGTTTATTTAAAACGGAGTATTTCTTATTTCACTGAGAACATTTCCAAGATTATAAATCAATAACTAATTTAACTTTAATTATGTTTGAGGTAGAAAATTATGTAGATTTTTAAAAATGACTAATTAAAAATATTCAGTTTAAATTCGGACACCGGAGCGAGGGTGTAAATGTGAGCATGCACAGTAATCCCCGAAATAATCCGGAGCTGCCAATGTAAAATCAATGAGACAGAGAGAGAGAGAGGGAGAGAGGGAGCAGCTCGGTATTATCCCCTGATAATAAGAAAAACAAACAGCTAACAAGGCGAGGGGAACCCCGCTGCGCACACGCATATCCTCCGAAAGCTATTAATCTGCTCAATGTAGTTGTTCACCCTGAAAACCGAGATAAAGAACCGCAGGAAATGTTGACTTTTCCCGAGCTGCTCTTTTGAAGAGCTCCAACAATGAGGAACCTCCGAGAAATACAAAGAAAAATGCTGCTTTACTTTGTTCACCCGGAGGTTTGTCCACCCTGCTGCCCGGGTTCACCCTCTGAAACACGGACCAGTTTAACCAGAATTAAGAGGCAGAAATGAGTTTTTTTTTCCCCTGAATCCTGTCAGCCTTAAATCTCTTATTTTCCTACAGAGACTCCAACAAAAGAGCCGGTTTAACAGAGCTGCTCTCTGCCGCACCTCTCCAACAAAAGGAGCGTTTTTATTATATATATGAGCGTTAGAAAAGCCTTTAACATGTCAGCTGCGAGGTCTCACACTTCATATCAGGTCAAATAAATTTCAGTTTAAAAAAGACAAAAAGGTAAATTCAAGAGGCGAAGCTGCTGAGGACTGAGTTCAGTTTGAGACAGAAGGACAGAGGAGAGAGAGAGGGAAGTATAGAGGGTCAAATGTGACCCAAACTGTCTCCGTTTACCTTCTTTGCTGCTGCTGCTGCTCTGGCTCTTGTTTTTCTCCCATGGTCCCATGGCCTTGTCATCCTCCGACCCGTCCATCATGGCCTTGTCACTGGGCACGTACCAGGTGGCGTGCTGCTCTGCCATCAGGGTGTCAAGGTCAATAGTGCCCATTGAGCCCTTCCCAGCATCCGGGCTGCAGCCTGCCAGCTCGTTGTCTCCGTTCTGCTGCGAGGGACAGTCTCCGTTCTTCTTGCCGTTCTTTAAGGCCAGGGGCTGGTCCTCGGAGATGCTGAACTGCTGCCGCTGCAGCTGGATCTGGGCCTGCAGGATTTCCAGAGGGTGGATCTCTTCCTGGCCGGAGGTGCTGGATGGGGTTCGTACCTGCTCCACTCCGGGGGTGCCGGGATGGCTCACCCCGCTGGCCCCCGTGGCCCCGCCGGCGTTCAGTCCGTAGCTGTCTGGTGTCGAGGTAGTGTGATTGTTAATGCCCATGCTGAGGGGCTTCTGTCCGTTTACCAGCCCGTGGTCGCCCCTCTGCATCTTGGGTGAGCCGGTGATCATGGGGCTGCGGTTAGGCTTGGCGGCGGAGGCCCCGCCTGCGTCAGAGCTGGATGACACCTCATCCTCGTTGCCGTAGTGGGTGCTTACGTCGTCCGGAAAGTCAACTCGTGGCGAGCTGCTGTCAGACTTGGCAACGCTTTGAATGCCGCTGTCCAAAGACGACATCAGATCGGCCTGGTCCCCCAACATTAGGTCACCTCCTTTCCCCCACGAGGGCGATTGGAGGTGCTTCTCATGGGGCGTGCCCCCACCCCTCTCCCCAACGCCAGCTGAGGGGGTCTGCTGGCCTGGACTTACAACAGGGTTTCCATTGTCAGAGGAAAAAAAAATTCCAGGGCTCACATGTCCGCTGTCTCTTTTTCTCCTCCCTCTCCCTCTCCCACTCCCTGTTGTTGCCTTCCCCTCACTGCACGGGGTAGCGTCCATGTTGAAATTTGGGGAGAGGGCACTGGCTTCCCCCTGCACCGTCTGGCTTTGACTTGCAGGCTTAGAGTTGCTATTCCCGGTGCCAGGCATCTGGCTGTTCTGGGAAGTGCTGCTCTGAAAATATTCAGGCCCAGCACTGCCAGTCCCATTAGATGTGCTGCTATTAATGTCCTGCTCCGTCTGACTCAGTTTTCGCTTGCCCTCGTTTTGGTTCTTCTTGTTGAACGTTACGTTAAGATTGGGGGCCCCTAGGCTCGCTATCATGTTCTGGCAGGCCGTAGAGAGGGCCGCCAGGCAGCTCTGGCCAAAAACACTGTCTTTGGAGCTGGTTTTGTTGAAGTTACCCAGAGACAGAGCTCCTAGCTTACTGACAGAGGACCGCTGGCCTGGGGGGAACTCAGACTGGGGTGGGTATGTCCCCGGTGAAGTGCTCACCCCCTGGGGAGCACTGTGGGGCGGCCCTTGACGGTTACCTCCTCCGTAAGGAAACGTTGGCTGAGCTCCCATCGGAGGTGCAGGAAAGTCAGCCGGCCGCCGCTCTGCTGGTGGGTTGGGGTGCCCGGCTCCCGCTCCTGGACTCTGCATCTGTGCGAGGTTCCCCATGTTGCTGCTGAACTGTGAGTGGATCCCCGGGGAGTGAAGGGCCGGCACATGACCGTCTCCGGGTATTCTCATGGGCTCCTGCATGCCCATACCCGGCCTGAACATCATCCCGGCCCCATTTTGCTGCAGCCCCATGTCGTGAGGCCCTGATTCGTTCCCTGCTCCACCCATACGCCGTGACATCATCTCCCCTGGTGGGTGGGACCCTTGGAACCAGGAGTTCTCCTGAGTTACATGAGGATTCTGTCCATCAATGTTGGGCATCCTGCCCCCGCTCTCCCTGTCAAAGCCGGGCTGAGGCATGTTCCCAACAGGGCCGCCGTGAGCCATGGGGCCCGGAGGAACATCGCCATGGTGACCCAGCTGCTGCAGGCTGGGCTGCCTCATCCTCTGCTGCTGGTTTCGAGAAGCCATCTGTTTGATCATCATGGCGGCGTTCTGGCGCTGCTGCAGAGACTGCTGCTCGGGCCCTGGATGCTGCAGAGGACCAGGTGGGAACCCTTCACTCACAGGTGGAGTGAACTCCCCAGGTAGGCCGGGGTAGGCGGAGGGAGAGAGGTGGTTATCCATCCCGCCGCACCAGCCTTCACCGCCGTGTGCGTTTGGAAAGTCAAATCTGGGCCTTTTGGCCATGTTCATATACGGAGAGTCAAAGTGTTGTAGCCTCTGGTTTGGGGGCTGCTGGGAGGGGGGAGGAGCTGGCTGTTGCATATTAAACATGGGGTCCCCATAGGGGTGCAGCCCCCTATTTTCCAGTCTGTGAATGGGATATTCAAACTGGTTGTGTTGGCCAGGCATCATGACCCCTCCGTCCAGAATGTTAGGGTTAGTGGAGCCCGGCTCAGCCTGAGGGGGTCTGGGAAGGCCAGGGGGACATGAGTTCTGTCTGGATATCAAGCCGGCCTGTTGTTGCTGCTGCATGAGAGGATGTCTGGCGTTGACCCCCGGCTCCATTCCCACGGGCACCTTTCGACCGTTTCCAAAACGCTCAAAAAACACTCCGTGCTGAGGCTGCTGGGGCTGCGGTGGGGGCGGCTGGTGTCCCTTCGAGATGCCCTGCATACCTGGAGTCCGTGGCATGCTGGGGTTCCCGGGGAAATTTCCACCTGGAACGGGCCTCCCCGGCCCAAAATGGGGTAACTGAGATTCTGATTCTGACGGGGAAAAAACATGAACGTCAAAATGTCCAGATGGAGGCTCACTGGGGAAGTTATACTCTAACCCCTCCACGGCGCCTTGGTTGGGCATCCGCCGGGGCTCGAGACCGTGAGACTCCGAAGATGAGGATGAGGAGGAAGGGAGTCCGTGGAAGGATGCTGCTCTGTTGGGCGACTGGTCCAAGGGGAGGCAGGGGGCAGGAACAGCATGGCTGCCGCTCGGAGGCCCGTGATGCTGGAAGTCGGGCATGTTACCAGGCCGCTGCTGCTGCTGCTGCTGCTGCTGGGGGAAGCTGTCCCCTCCCTGCCCCTCTGAAAGAGGATCAAATCCCTCTCCGAAGCCCTGCTGTGGTCCCATGCCATTGTTGTTGTAGCCCATTAGCCTTCCACCGTGCAGGCACGACGAGCCTGGCTCTGGGCCTCCAAAGTTCCCACTGAAGTGAGGGTGAGGTTGGTGGGGGTGAGGTTGGTGGCCGTGTGGGTGTCCTTGGTGAGGTTGCTGGTTGTTGAAAAATCCATGCATGGCTCCTTGTTGCTGCTGCTGCTGCTGCTGGAGTCCTCCGCCTGCATGCATGTCCGAGTGGCCCCGTGGGTGGAAGCCCCCGTACTGCTCTCCGTTCATGTTCATGTTGAGCCCGAGCATTTGAGGCTCGCTCATCGGGCCCATGCCGGGCTCCACGGCTCCCGGCGGGCCTCCAGCGTGAAAACCTGCAGGGCTTTTATAATGAGAGCCCATGTTCAGTCTCGGTTGGTTTATGTTTCTCTCTGACTGGCCAGGGTTTCTGCTATTAATCTGAGAACCAAACTGCTCCAGCCCAAACATACTCCCCTGCAATCAATCCCACATGACGGCCAGTTTGCCAGACATCGGCACACCGTCTTTTTCCGTCTGTGCACAAAAACAAAAAGCGGAAAAAAAAAAAGACTATAAAAAATCTACTCAAACATTCACTTGACACTGCTGCTTCAACTGCTTTATCTCCTCATTTAAAAGCTGAAACTCACCACATTAGTCTTCATTGTTGTGCATTCACTGCTTTTGTTTTTCAACTTATCCAAGGACGCAGAGAGGAGGAGAGGGGACAGGCTGGCTCCAATTACGCACGTAAACTGCGTTCCTGCTCCGGTCTCTTTACCAACTCGCTGCTCTTCTCTTTGTCTTTCTTAAAGTGAACAAATATTCAACCCTGAACCACCGACCTATCACATTTCAAAGTTTTTTCTCCAGCCTTTACATGACAATAAAATCCTCTCAGCGAGCTAAAAGGGAGCGCAGCGGGCAGGGGCGTTCAGACGGGGAGGAAGAGCGTTTCTGTCCGTTAATTCATGATGTGAGTCTCATGTCAAATGTCCCACAGAGGCTGTTAGAGTCCGGTCCCATAGTGGAAACAAGAACAAGTCCAATCGGAGCCGTGGGCTTTAAAAAAAAACACACACTGGTGGATTTCAGCAGAAAATAAAAAATCTCTTTTTTTAAATAAATGTCCTTCAGGATCCAAACTGCTGCTCCGGTTCGGAACCACAAGTCCAGCCCAATTTAAGTCCACATAGACGGGTTTCCAATCCAGGTACCGGAGAGCTGAAGCCCCTTTACGCAGTCCGAACCCCGAGCAGAGCAGCGTGCACTACCCGCACCCCAGCACCGCCGAGCGGCTTGACTGCATCCTCCACCCCGCCGCTGCTGCGCTCTGCACGGACGGACCGTCTCGTTTTTAGTCCGTTTGGTTCGTTTTTGTCCTGTAAGTCCGCGTCCCTCCGTGGACTCTGTCTCTGCTGAGGTGGTGTGGGCGCGCTGGGGACAGATCCACGGACACACTCGTTCTCCGCTGAGCCGCTTGGCGCTGTGTGAGATCAACGCGTCCACACGATCCAGCAACAAGTTTTGCATTTCTACAGCCGCTGCCATGCAGGAGGTCTCAGCCAATCAGAGGCGCCGGAGGAAGCTTAGGGGGCGGGACTAAAGCTTTTAAGGTGGTCCGCTGAGTCAATGGGATTGAGGAGCATTGTGTGGAAATCCGACTTTAGTGTGGAGGAGACCAACATGAGGGTCTTCACTGAGACTCTGAGGAACAGAGTTCAACTCAAAATAATCACAATAATAAAAAATAAAAAACTCTTTAGATTTACAGAAAAATACATGAATAAAAAACAACATTTCAGTGTTTCATCAAGTCTGCAGCATTTAAGGAGGATTAACACCAGGAACATCCGCGTCTAATAACTTATTATTAATTATTATTATTAGTAGTAGTAGAAGTAGTAGTAGTTGTAATAGTAATAGTAGTAGTAGTAGTAGTAGTAGTAGTATTCACACAGATCCACACAGTCCAGCAGTTCTAGAACCGACCCCATCAGACTCATTTACTGCTGAACCGGGTCACAGGATCCACATGGACCCCCAGATTAAAGTTCTGCTGCTGATGAAGGAGATCAGGTGAACTGATGGATTAATATTGATGATTGAATGACGTCATAAATCCAGAAACAAACAAACAAACAAAGAAACTCTGGAGACCAATCAGAGTCTGAGTCCTCCTTAAAGAACCGGATCAGGAGGATGAAACTGGACTTTGGTTCTGATGATCAATATCTGTGACGGTCTGTAAACCTGAACAGTTTTACTCTGAACATCATTCATGAGGTTCTGATCTCATGTGGATCAGTTTCAGACTCCAGTCCAAGTCCAGGACCAGGATGTGCAGGTCTTTATGAGACTCCGAACCTTCAGCTCTTTTCTTTTTATTCTTATAATAATAATAATAATAATAATAATAACAATTATTATTATTATTATTATTATTATTATTATTATTATAAAGAATATTTGTATTTATAATAAATAAATAAAGAATATTTATAAATATATTTATAAATATTCTCTCTTAGACCAGATCCAAACCTGATCATCTCCCTGAACCAGGTCTCTGCTGGCTGGTTCTGATCAGGGTCCATTTTCAGGCCTTTCAGAGCCTCTTCAGAACCTCCTCACTGCAGAAGAACTCGGTCCTCCTCTCAGATAAAGACCCAAATGTGTCCCACAGAAACCCGAGACTGACCAGGTCTGAAATCAAGACCCAGGACAAGAACCGGGTCAGCGTCTGTTCAGGACTCAGAGGACCTGAAAATCAGCTGTTTTTTTCCGCCCTGAGAGCAGAACCGGGTTTCTGTTTCTGTTGTCAGGGAGCTCAGGGGAGAACCTTGAGAGGAAACCAGAGAGAGTTTTACCGAACAGACACAGTGACACCTAGAGGCCGGAGTCAGAAGGAGCAGCAGGGAAGAAAACAAGAGGATCAGGGGGTTCTGATCAAGAGGAGGCGCACACACACACACACACACATATATATATGTACACACAGAGACACAGATACACAGAGACTATCAGGAAAATATATTTAATGTAAATATGAATTAAATGTTAAATTGAAAGACAAACCAAAGTTAAACCGATCAGTCAGAGACGTGTCCTCTGAACGAGTCAAAGTCCTCGGTTTGGTTTTAGACGGCAGACTGAGGAGGTCAAAGCAGATCGAGAAAACTGTTGGAGTCTGACAGGAATAAACTGATGTGCTAAATCTCAGAACTGCATCTCCAGACTTTTACAAACATTAGTATTTACTCACTTGGACTATTATTCAGCTGTGTGGTCAGAAATGACAGCAGATCTGTGAGGCGAGCGCTGAACTGTGAGAGAAGAACCAACATCCACAAAATACACGTGACATCAGGCTGAAAGAGAGGAGGACTGTGTCTCTGATTTCCTTCTTCTTAGTGAATAAAAGTCAAATATTTAGTTTAATCAGCTGCTGTTCAGTCGTAATGATCATAATTTCAACATTAAATGTTTTTTTCACTCTTCCTCTCACCAACATGAACTCTGGACGGAGTTCTGTCGTGTTCAGAGGGAAACATGAGGTCGTCTTCCTTCTGTTATTACGAGGTTAACGTGTTTAAAAAGACGATCTACTGATATCTGAAGACTCACTGAAAAAAGACTCGACTGAGACAACATCGAATACATGACAATGGGACTTTGATTATTGGTACATTGATCCTGGTCTTTATTGGAAATGTGACGTCGTCATAATTCTGGTTTCAGTTCTGATTTTAACGTCTTTTCTCCTGTTTGGACTTTTATCATTTTAATGTTTATGAATGTTTACTGTCTTCAGGTGGACCCAAGAAGAGGAGCTGATGGGATCCAAATCAATCAATCAATCAATCAATCAATGAACTCTGGAGAAAAAAATCATTAAGATGGAGAAGAAATGAAGATGTGAGACGAGAGACTGAAGACGAGTCAGGAGGACAAACCGGACCTCCTGTGAAGTGGGGGGTGAAGGTGTGTGTGTGTGTGAGTGTGTGTGTGGGGGGGTACCTACAGCTGAGAGGACAGCAGCTCAGAGCGAGGAGAGAGGAGTCAGGAGACAGGACACAGAGTGAGGACACAGGAGTGAGGAGACAGGACACAGAGTGAGGACACAGGAGTGAGGAGACAGAACACAGAGTGAGGAGACAGGAGTTAGGAGACAGGATACAGAGTGAGGACACAGGAGTTAGGAGACAGGACACAGAGTGAGGAGACAGGAATTAGGAGTTAGGAGACAGGACACAGAGTGAGGAGACAGGAGTTAGGAGACAGGACACAGAGTGAGGAGACAGGGGTTAGGAGACAGGACACAGAGTGAGGAGACAGGAGTTAGGAGACAGGACACAGTGGAGTCCTCTTCAGTGTGGAGGACGTGTCCTAGAGTCTCTGTGGACTTCTGTCCCTCTTTAATAACAAACTCAGTTTTTGTCTGTCCCCTCGGTCTCTGAGGGTCTACATGGTTGGACACTGACCCAGATCATTTAAAGATCCTGCAGGAGGATCAGTTTGAGAGACATCTATGTTCATATTTCTATGATCTTCTCTGAACCACAATGAGGACAGAAATCCAGATCTGGTTTTGTGTGATCTTGATCCTCTGTGATCCAGCTCCTCCTGGTCCTGTCTGCAGTCCTCTCAAGTGAAGACAGACCAGTTAAGTATGACAAACCGATGGCGTGGTCCCCCCCGTCCCCCGGGTCCCCTCTGATGATAGATGCTGCTGCTGAGGAGACGCCATGACAGCGGACCGTCTGCAGACTGTCTCCATATTTGTGTCCCCCTCACACAGACACACAGACCGCGTGTCCACGTGAAGACCCCACAGAGACAGTTCCTTCCCGTTCTGAGGGGACGGCGTCCTCAGAGCCTCTGTGCGTCCTCTGCAGGCCTGTCAGTCAAACGGACCGTCACAGTTCTGAGGGTCAGGCCGGGTTAAGCAGCATCTGTCATCCAGAGGAGGACCATTGTATAGAGAGGAGACACACACACACACACACACACACACACACACACACACACACACACACACACACCTCACTCACACACCTCCTCAACAACAGGAAAACTCCGGAGAATCTCTGCGGCCGGCTCTGACCCGAGCCCGGAGGATGAGGAAGCTCTCCTGACATCACTGCCATCCCCTCAACGCCAAAAATAACCTCCTCTCCCAGAAAAGAGCGGCGGCCCCTGAACACAGCGGGCCCCTGGGGAGGAGGGGTCACACACTGTACTCTGTAAACAGGGACCTGAAGAGGGACAGGAGGGGGAGGAGCCTGTTTGTGTTTGTGAGACAGGAAACAAACAGAGGTGCCCGTTTGGATCCCTTTGGTTCTGGAGACCTTTCTGCTTCAGTGTGTGTGTGTGTGTGTGTGTGTGTGCAGCTGAAGGACTGAAGGACTGAAGCCGCTCCTCTGGCGCCTCCTCACCATCCCGTCAGTCCTGGGCAGCTCGCCTGGATGTCCTGCTGTGTCACGTCTTCAGCCTCCCTTTGAGACTCCTCGCTCCTCTTCCTCGCTCCTCTTCCTCGCTCCTCTTCCTCGCTCCTCTTCATCTGTCGCCTCGTCTATTTAAATGACGGGGGCTCACTCCTGACACGTCCCCCGTCCTCTCTGGGAGGGAGACACATGGACGGATGGATGCGTGCCTACTGTAGACGACGGCGAGCTGCCATTTAACAGGAGGTGTGTGGGCGAGCCCGCCCGTCTCCGCTTTTAGAAACAGCATGATTCGCTCGTTCTGGGGCAGATCTGACTGGTTTCCTCGCCGCCGCAGCAGCAGCAGCGGGCACATGTGACCGCTCCTCGCCGAACAATAAAAAGGCGGATATCTCGGGCTGCAGACTGGCGTCTCTTCCTGCTCTTTAGCACCGATTCCGCTGTTATTGTGCGAGTCCTCTGACCTGCAGGTCACCGAGGGAGAGAGAGAGAGAGAGAGAGAGAGAGAGAGAGAGAGGGAGAGAGAGAGAGAGAGAGAGAGGGGGAGAGAGAGGGAGAGAGAGAGAGGGAGAGAGAGAGAGAGAGAGGGAGAGAGAGAGAGAGGGAGAAGAGAGAGAGAGAGAGAGAGAGAGAGAGAGAGAGAGAGAGAGAGAGAGAGAGAGAGAGAGAGAGAGAGAGAGAGAGGGAGAGAGAGGGAGAGAGAGAGAGGGAGAGAGAGAGAGAGAGAGGGAGAGAGAGAGAGAGGGAGAAGAGAGAGAGAGAGAGAGAGGGAGAGAGAGAGAGAGAGAGAGAGAGAGAGAGAGACCACCGCAGTCACACACCAGCATCAGCAGGTCTTCATATTAAACATGGAGGGTCTGCAGTCAGTCTACAGACAGATCCTGGTTTAACTCTGAACCTCAAATAAACATTAAATCACCTACAAAAATAAAGACGTTTATGATCATTTCTTTATAAAAATACAATCAGACCGAGACGCTGAGACAGAAGAACGACCGCGTCTGTAAAATGATCAATATGGTGATTATTACTTCAAGGAAATGGTCAGTGGGAGGGGCCAGTGTTCATATGAATGAAAATGTCAGGGATTAAAGTTTGATCTGTGTTCAGTTTCAGGAAAATGATCAAAGTTCGTATTTTCAGCAGCTCTCCTGAGACGAAGACTCTTTGGTGGACTGTTGGTCCCTGAAAATGTCCTCCTGATCCAGCACACAGAGACTCCAGAGGACTGGACTCCTGATTCAGACCGATCAGGACGTTTCTTTAGGTGGACACAGAGAGGCCGTTTGTTTCTCACCGTGGACATTATCATTGTGTCACTGACTGAAGTGTGTTCACTATTTAACGACTTCGATTAAAACGAGTCATAAAAACACCAAAACGGACCTTAAACACGGTCAGAACCAAGACTGAAACCTGCTCTCTGCACCGACCGACCATGTACTTCTGCAGTACTCCTGCTGACCACTGGTTGGCAGTGTGATGTCTGCTGTTGGTTACCCTCCTTGTTTGTGAACTGGAAACCATGGCAACCGGGTGTTATGGTGCATTCCAATTGTACTATGAAGTTTGGATTTCCCAGCTCCCCTGAAGTCCGATTACCCACTCAGAAACGATCCTCACCAACCCTGATCTGACGATACTTAATAATCCAAGATGGCGGCGCAGTAAGGAGTAACAGTAAAGATCTCGTAATGTTTTATTTATTCGCACTTCTGTTTTTGTTTTAGTGAAATTAATTAAGTGGTTTATGTCGTACCGACCAACGGCTAACGCTGCGTTTGAGTTTCCTCGGAGGTCAGAAGTCGGAGCTGAAAATGACGTCACACCCAACGGAAACCATCTGGCTACATCTACTTAAGTTATTTTCGCGCTTGCCTTATATTTGGACAAAGCGATAAAATAACTTTCGTAGATTTCGTAGACGTAGCCATCTTTTTTCCGATTTTGTTTTTTTCCGACTCTGTAACTGAAACGCTGAGAACTCTGGATGTGACGTCTTTTTCAGCTCCGCCCTCTGACCTCCGTGGAAACTCAAACGCAGCGTTAGCCTGATAGATGTGAGCAGCTGATCAGAGGACGTCGGTAACCATGGAAACGCTGATAATCAGACAAACAGAGCCGAAGGTGACATTTGGACAGTGTTTATTTGATATTTAGATACAACAGGAAGTCGGACAGAAAGGCACAAACATCACAATCACTAACCCCGCCCCCCCCAATTTAAACAGCTGATCAGAGAGAGTCCAGGAAGGGGGACAGGTCTACAGCAGGACCAGAACACGTCCGTCCTCATCGCTGATTCTGGTTCTTTGATTTGGACTCGGAGGATTTATGAGGACAGAGACGTAAACACCCGTCCCTCTAAAGAGGACCCCCTGACCCCCTGACCCCCTATTTTGGTTCAATCCCAGACCAACCCCGCCCCCCCAGGGAAGGCCGCGGCGCCGAGGAGTTGAAGACGATTGCATGGTTTGGTCACCTGAGAAGATTTCTGAGTTTTTCTAAAAATATCTAAACTACCTCGACCCTCGACCCCGCCCCCCCCCCAAACCTGAGTCCATGTAAACCAGAAACAGATCCAGAGTCTGGACCAGCCGGCCACCATCATGAGGAGGTGACCTGGATCACTGAACCACAAGAACCTGATCTCAGAACACAAAATGGCAGCTCCAGTTTTGGCCACGCCCCCTTTTACGGGTGAAAGCGGTCCATCTGAAAACCGGACTTTAACAAACAAGACCAGATTCTGATCTCAAACCCAAGACAGTGAGGCAGAACTTTAGGTTCTAAGAGTCTCCCTCAAACCCGAGGTCAGACCGCGTCATGTGACTGAAGGGGCTCTAAACCCGCCCTAGTCTGGACCTGAGTCTGGACCTGACCTCAGACCTCTGTGTCCTGGTGTCTTCAGCTGTGATGGACACACTGACCAATCAGAAGACAATCACAGAGACGCTGACCTGATCCCAACGCTCTGACCGCCATGATTCACGCCAACAAGCTAACGGCTAAAGCTAACCTGGCAGAGGTCCAAAGATCAGGGTGTGAGGGACCATTAGGACCCGGAGACAGAGGGGAGGACCGAGTCCACCTCAGAGGGGTGGAACCGGGAGAACTGGGAGAACTGGGCCGCTGCAGGATGGTGACTGAGGTAGGAGGGGGGGGCTGATTTTCAGAGCCGGGTCGGTTCTGGGGACAAACGTGAGTGTGTCTCCAGAGTAGGGAGTGTGTGTGTGTGTGTGTGTGTGTGTGTGTAAACAGTGGTACTGTCACGTCCTTCAGCACAGAGAGCGTGCACGGATCTGCCCGACCTGAGCTGTCGAGTGTTCAGTCACCACAAAGGCATCCACACCTGTGAGCGTGTCGACTCTCACGGTCCTGATGTATATAAGGCACGTGTGTGTGTGTGTGTGTGTGTGTGTGTGTGTGTGTGTGTGTGTGTGTGTGTGTGTGTGTGTGAAGACCTGTCCGGACACGACTGTCAGCGTTTATAAGATGCAGCGGCGCTCCGGCTGAGGTGGGGCCATGGGGGAGGATTAGGAAGGGCCGAGGGTGTTAGTAATCTCTTAATGGAGGCTGTGGCAGGAAGGAACATGAGGACGAGAGAGAGAGAGAGAGAGAGAGAGAGAGAGAGAGAGAGAGAGAGAGAGAGAGAGAGAGAGAGAGAGTACAGTCAAACTGAGGAGGAGGAGGAGGAGGAGACAAAGGGAGGTCAGACAGGCCAGCGTCTGCACACAGAGGAATGTGGAGGACTGAGGATCGAAGAGGAGGAAATATTTGGTCCAACACCTGCAGCTGAGGAACCGAGCCAACGGACCGGTTCAGAAGGAGGGTCTCAGCGCTGCCAGGAGCTCCTCTTCGCTGAAGGCCGACTCTGATCCAGAACATGGACCGAGTCTGACCAGCTGAGATCGGGTTGGTTTCTATAAATCAAGTCCTCAGAGTAAAGAAAGTCTATGATGGGGTCAGAGTCGGGGGTCCGCTCTAGGATTGAAGGTAGCAGAGCCCCCCCCTCCCCTCCACAGTCTGAATCAGTCCAGGTAAAGAAAGTGGCACCAAAAGATCCGTGTTCGCCGTCTCCGTCATGGTAGGTCGTTCAAATCCGTCTTGTCAGTCGTCTGCGGCGCTGGTTCCTCGGATTTCACCCTTTTGGCGAAGCTGCGGACAAACACGAGAGAGAAGACGTGAGGTTCAGGTGAGAGAGAGAGGAGAGAGAGAGCGGGTTAGAGACCCGGACTGTAGAGGTAAAGGAGAGGTCGGCAGGAGTCTGTTAAAGACGCTTCTTTATAAACAAAAAACCTTCTAATATCAGTCAATAGTTATTAGTTATTAGTGGTGCAACGGATCACAACACTCACGGATCGGATCATTTTTCGGATCAGCAAAAAGCAGTTTTGTCTGTATATTAAACACTTAAATGGTTGAATTAAAATATATAAAAGTAGTGCATACGGCATAATATCTTCTTTTCAACATAATTATTAATGAAAAACAACTTAAAGTGCAATATACAGGCATATCTCCTTCCTTTAAAATGTGACAATGAACCAAAAATGAA